ACATCAGTTACACTGACTGACAGAAAGCAAAGTGAGATCCCTGAGGAACTGCCAACAATAACTAAAATATTAAAAATTAGAATGTTTTGAGTTTAAAGGGAAATTTCCTGAGCCTCTTCAGTTTGAGGAAGTCAGTGACCCTAGGCGTGCGTTAGTTTCTCAAAAGGATATTCAGCTGATGCAAGTTTCCTGCCCTGACAAGAAGCTACCACATTTGGGAGCATCTTGCATTAAAGGGGAGGGGTGGGAGGAATAATCAAACTTCTTTCAGTCATTGTGTCCATAGTTCTGGGAAAGCTATTGGATAGAGCAGGAGAGAAAAAATAAAGATTTGCTCTTAGCAGTAACGTGACACTTTACAATGTACTATCTAAGTGCCAGTGCTATTTTAACTTATCGTTAACTTAAATGTACCGCTTTCTCACAGTGCGGGAATGTTGTAATAAACGTTCCTAACCTCCCTGCTGTTTGTGGATGACAAGAGGCAGGCCTACATACTTGTGAAAAATGTAAGACTAACACTTTAAAGATTCCAAAGGTCTACCAAAGGAAAGGTTATCTATGAAAACCCAAGGTTGAAGATTGGGTTTGTAACTAGAAAATTCTAGAGTCAAAATGTGCTATTTCATTGATTCTAAGATGTACATTTTTTCCCACACTGCGAAGTCTCAAATTCTTATAGTCTTGGTCATCAGGAACTTGTCACAGGTTAACTGGCAACTCCCCCACCCCACCGTCTAGTGGTACATAAAATAATAAATAGTGTGCTTTATAATCTATGGCTTCTTAGATTAGATTAAGTTCAGTACACACAGTGAACCATATAAAAATAAATCTGACATTTAAACCCTGGTAATGCTCCCAATTGAAAAACTGCTGGCAAAAACACCTGGCCTCTTAAGTTTCAGCATGAGCAGCACAGCCTCAAGCAGAGGAGAGCATAACAGGGCATGAGCTGGGCCCTAGTTCTGGTTCTGCCCCTAACAAGCTGGCAGAACTGTGAGGGAACTGGTTTAACACTTCTGGGTTTGGTTTCCTCATCTGTAAATTGACAAAGTGTGATCAGAAGGCCTCTAAGTCTTCTACTGGAAGAGGAGGACAATTTAAAAACTTGCACAACTGTGGAAATTCCATAGCCAAGCTGTCAACTCCCCTCCCCTGCGAATCCAAAGGAGGTTCTTCTGCAGGCTGATGACTCAGGTTCCTCTGCTCCGAATCCAGAAACTTCTCCTACTTCCCAAGGAGAAAACACAAGTCATTCACAACTTAATAACTTCTTGGGAAAGGGTAATTCTTCAGTCTGGGCATTTTGTAAACTTCTTCAGAAAACTACAGACCCCTGGCTTAAGTTAAACTAAATGTCTATCATAGATTTAATATATCAAAAAATTCCTGTAAAGATTCACTTCAGTGTCTTCGTGATTGACACATTCTGGTGATAGATCGTGCTGCTCCGGCTGCCTCCTTCCATGCTGTAGAAGCACTGGCCAAAAAACCTTTGTGATCTGGAAGAAAATAGCAAAGAAACTTCACTTGAAAGGCACCTTGATACTCAACAAGAATGAATGTGCTTGGCCAAGGAAAACAAATGGCGGGGAATGGGTATCCCAAGCCATGAGAAATGGAATGTGATGATAATAGCACTGTTTTAGTAAACACTGCCATGTGTTTTCATTTTTAAAATATGTATTTTTAAATCCCAGAGTTATACTCTGTCTTTACCTAAGCATGTTGGAAGTAAAAATGGGAAGAGCAGCTAAAATCAACAACTGCAGAATAAATGACAGATTCCTAAGCCTTTCTATTTAAATGTCAATTCGAGATCCATTCAAACTATTTTAAATGTTATTACAGGTTGCTTCAATATATTATTAACTAAACTATGCTCCCTTTTTAAAATCTCTTCAATTCAGTCAGTTAATACATGTATATATCAAGCCTCTATTCATTGAACTGGCCAGGTCACTAATGCAACGTAATGAAATAACTCAGGAGAGGTAACTGGAGTTGTTGTTGTTACATGCCGCCTTGGGTTTCCAAGGTGGTATCACTACAGAAGTAGATTGCCCAACCTTCCTTCCAAGGAGTGGCTGGTGGGTTTGAACCACCAGCCTTCTGGTTAGCAGTCAGGTGCCTTAGGCACTATGCTACCAGAGCTCCTAACTAGAGTAGTGTGTTCATATTAACATCTTGTATTCAAACATCAGATTCTTGGGCCCTGGGGAGCTAGGGTTGTTGGGTCAGGTACTATCATTAAGTAGCTAGAATATACACTTCACCCAAACCCGAGATGACAGGAAAGAAAAAGGTAAAAAGAAGCACTTCAGGCAGTCATTGCCCTGCCTCATAGCCATCATGCACATGGTGTTCCAGAGAGCAGGTGTCACCTCCAAATCCTAAGTCATGTGTTCCCCATGCTCCTACTCTGCCTTTAAGTTGGGCCTTAAGGGAAATAAAAATCAAGCCTGTTGCCATTGAGTGGATTCTGACTCATGGCAACCTCATGTGGTGTGGAACAGCTCCACTGGTTTTCTTGGCTGTAATCCTCACGGAAGCAGATCAGCAAGCCTTTTTCCTGTGGTGCCACTGGGTGCGTTTGAACCCCCAACCTTTCAGTTAGCAGCCAAATGCAAACTGTTTGTGCCACTCGGGAACATCTTGAGATGAAAGAGAGAGGCTTATGAAATGAAGAAGAAATGATGACTGGTTTTAACGACTACAATTGGTTTGTAGGTCAGAATGTTGGGGTATTTTATGTCATAATTTGCCATGATCTGACACTGCGAAGTTGCTTAATATTAAATATATTTCTTAAGCAATTTAAGGACTAATGTTTAAACATAAAAAGATACCAGCCAATGATTTCTATCTAATTAAGACAACTTGGCTTCTGTACTATCTATGTATCTACTTGACTACGTGTCCCAAAGTAGGTATTTTTAGGGGACTAAAGTAGCATTTGATGTGCTCACTTCCAAGCACTTTTAGGTGGAACCGAACATGAGGAAAACCACCATGGAACACTGTTAGAACCCTGTTTTGTTTCATAAGAGAAGGTAGATGTCACCAACACCACACCAGGAAGGATGGAAAAGAGGCTGTTCCAGTTCCCTTAAGACTTCTTGCATCCTATGCATGGCCTTCCTGTCCCCTCGGGTCAAGAGTAAGCAGGGGATCAACACTTTGAAACAGTTTTTAAAGAAGAGCTCTGGTGGCGTAGTGCCTAAGGCACTTGATTACTAACCAGAAGGCTGGCGGTTCAAACCCACCAGCCACTCCTCGGAAGGAAGGTTGGGCAATCTACTTCCGTAGTGATACTGCCTTGGAAACCCAAGGAGGGGTTGCTATGAGTCGGGTCTGACTCGATGGCACATAACAACAACAATAAATTTCCATGGTTTATAAATTAGAAAACAAGTAGACAAAAACAAAAATACTACCTTTTAGGACTATATCCTTTCAGAGTTTTTCTTTGCTTATATATATAGTCATACCCCAAGATATGCCCATTTGGATTAAAAGAATTACAGTTTATGAGGAGTTTCGGTTAATGGAATTCCTGGTGGTGCAGGTAACGTGCTCACCTGCTAACTGGAAGGTTGGAGGTTCAAGTCCACCCAGAGGCAGCTCGGAAGAAAGGCCTCAAGGTCTACTTCTGAAAAGTCAGCCATTGAAAACCCGCTACAGCACAATTCTGCTCCAACACATGGGGTCTGAATCAACTCACAATATCTGGTACTGGTTTTTTACTTAATACTGCTACTTTAGCTTCTGAGGGATTCCTTTCCAGTTATGAAGTTTGGTTACGATTTGGGGCATGTTGCAAGCAGCTGAGTGCCAAAGAGGAAGAGTCACCCGATGGTCACCTTTGTAGCTGTGCTTGGCTTAGGAATGTCCAGTTCTGTCACTTGCCAGCGTAGGGCAGTGATAATCTGGTAGGATGGTCATCATACCAGACAACCCCTATGATACTGGCTTCTTTGCCGAGTGTGATATCACTTACATTGTTTTCACTGACTTCTTTTTACTTGACTTTCCCCATTTCAGTGGGTGGGGGACATACACTAAAGGCTTAATTACTTTAACAGTGAGGATCATGTGTGTTTTCTTTTTGAGCTTTGCCTTTATATGTGTTATAGCTACAAAAGGGCTAAACAAGAACAGATACAGGATTATAGGATAATTAATGAGGGGAAAATGTCCTCAAACAAGCATTGAGTGGTCTCGCTCCCCTTTCAGATACAGGGTTCAGCAAGGCTACTCTGTAGAAGCACCACACCCACCAACATGCCAGCCTGATGCAATGCCATGCTTAGTTTTGGTCGTTGATTCCGGGTAACTGATTTTATCTGCTCTTCCCATTTTCACTTTTGACATGTTTAGGTAAAGACAGACTATAACTTTTGGATTTAAAAATATACTTAAAAAATAAAAATACATGTATTCTTTACTAAAGTAAGGCATTCTGGTAGCACTATGGTTAAGCCTTTGGGCTGCTAACCAAAATGTTGGTAAGTCAAACCCACCAGCCACTCCTCAAAGGAAGGTTGGGCAATCTACTTCCCTAGTGATACTGCCTCGGAAACCTAAGGAGGGGTCCGACTCAACGGCAGTTAACAACAACAACATTCTTTACTAAAGTAAGGCAGTCTGGTAGCACTGTGGTTATGGCATTGGGCTGCCAATCAAAATGTTGGTAGTTCAAACCTACCAGCCACGCCATAGAAGAAAGATGAGGCAGTCTGCTTCTGTAAAGATTTACAGCATTGGAAACCCTCTGAGGGTCACTATGAGTCAGAATCAATTTGATGGTAGTGGGTTTGGGTTTTTTTCTTTTTTTTTTTTGGTTTTATTAAAGCAGTGCTATTATCATCACATTTCATTTTCCATTGCTTAGAAAATCCATTCTCTGACATTTGCTGTCAGGTTTAAAGGCTTCAAAAATACAATCTTCAGTCTAAATATGATTATGTACAAATTAAAGATTCTTACCACTGATGCTACTGATAGAGCAAACTGTAGTTGTCAACCAAAGAATAATCAGGGTCATCTGCAAAGGACAGAGCACAGAGCAACATTACGTTCATCTTTTTCATGATAAGATCCTAGCCCTTTTCAAACCAAGGCATTCCACTTAAAGCAGCTGGTAACTGCCTTTTTTTAAGAAGAAAATCTACCTGATAACAAAACTTATAACTGATAGTCATGGCTACAGACTGGGAACATTCTGGCAACCACTATTGTAATTCAACTGCCCTTTTCAACCACATCCAGATAGCAACAACCACAGTAAAGCCATCTCTACAGCCAGTAAAATACTAAATTATCAAATGGTAATTATAAGGCAACAAGAAATGAAAATCACTTAAATCCCAGATTGTTCAAACTTCATTTCAGCCACTCATTGTGTGTGTGTGTGTGGTAATATTTGCCATTTTAGTCATTTTTAAGTGTACAATTTAGCCACATTCATCATGCTGTGCAACCATCCCCACTTACCTAATTTCCAAAAGTTTTCTGTCCCCCCCAAACAGAAACTCAGTACTCCTTGAG